AAACTGCAGATACATACAAACGATACTGTACTTACAATTTTACAAAGCACGCACTAATTGCAGAGGCTTACACATTTTCATTAATCATTGAAAAATTCATACCACCCTCCCTTTTTTACCCCTTTGCTTTCATATCTTATACACCTATCTAATACCACGTAGGCCTACATAAAAACACACAACACACACACAAACGCACACAAAAACAAATACACACGACACAAACACACACACACGAACACATGCACATACCGGCGTACACACACACACACACAAACACAACCGCGCCCGTGGAACAAAGAACCCTCAACATTAAGGCTATATTTGGCTGAGAAGTCACCTAACAGAATACACACTCGTACAGCAGGGCACATCACACAGCGGATAGCCCGGGTTCGAACGCCAGACGACAACGTTTTTATACTCCAGAGGATCGACGCTGGAGTGTTTAGACTACTAAGTGCGTTCTACACCAAACTGACCCTATGTGAAACACACCAACGCACAACAAAAACCTTTCCTCCTTCCCCAAACATTCGTTAATTCAATAGCGATACTCTGAAACAGGTCTAATGGAAACCAATTTGAACTAGTTGAATTGCACTTCGTTTACTCTTTCTTTCTTTTTTTTTCTTAATTCACTTATTATGAGTTCCGCTTCAATTCTCTGCGGTACACTATTATTCAACGTTATGTTTTAAGGACAAAGTCATTCAAATCGTATTTATAAGTGATCGTTGCTGCTTTTGCAAAATACAACGGTGAATGAACGAAGTCCTACCACTTATTATTTCTTCCTTTATTACTAATAGAGCAGGAATCGTTGACATTTCTTTTTCTCTCTCACATTGAATCGATTTGGAAAACTACACAAAAGTGTCAGATGTATTACTTACGAAGTCCATTATTAGAGGTAGGAACGAAAAAAAACTTCGGATATCTAGAAAAGAAAATGCAATGTCCTACACAGTCCAAATCCTTCCCCATCACAAAGACAAAACTTATAGCTCAGTGAAATCTAGTTTCGTAGACATGGGTGAAGCAGTAGATCCACAACAGTTTATAATTCGGATGCACAGCTTGCATGAGATCAATAAAGGAAAACTGTGAAAATCAATCGCCACTATGACGTAGAGATTTACGTGTAATTTAATCACTGTAAGTTATTGGGTGGGGTCGCTGGCACTTTACTATGTTTCGGTTTGGTCTGACAATACTGGTTATTGTTGTTTATCGTTATTATTGAGAAAAATACTGCCTTTGAATGTGTATGTATTTCTGTGTAACTACAGTGTCAGTTGTAATGAATGGAAAATGTAAAGAATAGTAACAACTAGGATCATCCCCAACCCCCCTTTTTTCACTGCCAAACAACACAACGCTTATTTATGTCATGAACATTGTGAAGAGAGTTCATTCTTCTTTTCAGCTTGGTTAATTCACAGGCGACGCAGAGGGTAATAGAGAAAGCAGGCAGTTGGCACCTTTCCAGTGAAGTGAAAATTTAATGTACATGTATTATTTTGCTTCAGGAATAAAGACACAAATTTGTTAACGTAATTTGCCTTGATCTCTCTGTCTCTGTCTCAGTTGGTCTATGACTTTGTCTGTCTGTCTGACTGTCTGTCTGTCTGTTCGTCCGTCTGTCTGTCTGTCTGTCTGTCTGTCTGTCTGTCTGTCTGTCTGTCTGTCTGTC